TTTTATCTAGAGCTTCTGATAAGGATCACACACACACACACACACACACACCCTGCCTCCTCAGAGCTTCTGTCAAGGGGATTTGGTGAAATTATGGAAACCACTGTACAATGATACGTTATTTTAAATCACAGCAGAACATTAAGGTTGACCTACATGACTTGGAAGGGGCAGTGGGGCGTGTGGAGGAATTTGATCTCGCGGATGCTCCTCTGTGGCACGGTGTTGAGCGTCGAGCGGCACCAGCACCTCTCCAACAGGCTGATGGGCTTCGCTGCGGAACACAGGACAAAACAGGGGACAGGAGTTTTGAGATAAACTCGATTTTTCTTTCAGGCAAGAAAACCTTTTATCATGGTGCAAACTGAAATGACAAGTATGACGCGATGATCGTAATGTCACAAAACAATGACTGTAAATGTTGTAAGGTTATAATGCCTTGCTTGTACAGTTCTAATGCAGCGATCGTAACTATACGATGCTCGTTATGTCGCAACAATGATCGTACTGCTATAATAGAACAATTGTATTTACCTTCTCTTTTTTTTTTTTTAACATACATAATACACTATAGTAGGCTTATAATCGTATTATAGCGTATTATATAGGTATTATAACATCATAAAGTTATAATACTCTATAATATGTATATAATAGGATCATAATGTTATAATACTCTATAATACGTATATAATAGGATCATAATGTTATAATACACTGAGTGTAATGTTATAATACGTTTATAATAGGATCATCATGTTATAATACACTGAGTGTAATGTTATAATACGTATATAATAGGATCATAATGTTCTAATACACTGAGTGTAATGTTATAATACGTTTATAATAGGATCATAATGTTCTAATACTCTATAACACGTATATAATAGGATCATAATGTGATAATACACTGATTGTAATGATATAATACCCTATAATACGTATATTATACACTGTAATAGAATCATAACATTATACACTGACTGTAATGTTGTAATACTCTATGATACTGTACCTATATAATATGCTTTTATAGAATCATAATCTTATCATACTCTGATTGTAACGTTGTAATACACTATAAAATGTATATAATACACTATAGTTGGAACATGATGCGAAGATATACTGATCGTAACGGTATAATACATATATAATACGATATAATAGGATCGTAATGTTATAACACGCTGATCGTAATGTTCCAAGGCGACGACTGTAATGTTAGAATGTGACGCTCATAAAGTTATGATGCAGCACTCGTAATGTTGCTCGAATCTTTGCGCGTTCTTTTTAGCCCATTCTTTAACATTCAGTCCTGAAACATTTTCCCTCTATACATTTCCAATTACTGCTAAAAACAAAACAAAAAAAAAAGAAATCCAGAACGGTTCAGCAGGTGACAAAGAGTTTTACGACCTGAATCAATTCGTCCTTACAGTCGTAAAAAAAAAAGAATAAAAAACACTCTCCCTCATAAAGCAGACGTATCCTATCTCCGCATTCCACCTGCGAGCACGGATCATTAAAAAGAGATTAAGCCATCGCTCTAAATCCGCCGTTCCCACATGAGGGAACCCGCTGTCTCGCCCGCTACCGTCGTCAAGAGCCCTTAAAGTTAACCAGGGTGCTTTGAGGAGCCTCACACTCTCACATCAGCCTCGAGGTTCTGATTGATGGTCTGAAGAGCTTTCCCTGGTCTTCCTCAGCCAGTCCCGAGTCTCGTCCTCAGTCGAACGTGTCGCTTCAGACCATTGTATGTGTTTGGATCTGAATGTGTGCGTTTGATTAACAAGCTGAAGTGCATTCTTAGTGTTGTCCTGGTCTTTTTCAGCAGCGTCCCGAGCCTCATCTTTTAGCAGACCGCGCTATTGTGAACGTATTCGAGTTACGAAGACACAATGGAAAAGACTTTATTTTCATTTATCACATAGACCTTGTATATGGAACAGCAATAGCTCAGTCATAGCATACCATGCTAGTCCTTTAATGTTACCATTCCTAACAAGCCATAAATACACACTGGTATAATTGTTTCTGAAGATGCACGACGCTTTATACTAATCAATTTTACTGTTTAACGTGCATTATAATGCATTATAAGTTGTCACCGATACCAAACAAGCCTACTTTTAAAGTATATAAATATACTTTAGTGACCTTAGTGCATTATATCTACAAATATTGATACGCTGACAGAAATTCATCAGAAAATAAAATTTTGGACAAACAGGAAGCATGATTTTTTTTTTTTTACTTGTTTGTTTATTTCTAAAATGTTTCAATAAGGTTATAAGTATCACAATCTACACATTTCATTAAATAAATATATTTATATATTTTGGAAGAGAATGCACTATATTGTGCGTATATAGTGTTAAGAACACTACGTATTTATTTCATAACGCATTATAATAATCGATATTTTAAAAGAAATGAATATAAAAAATATTCGGGTTGTTCGGGTCATTTCTACGAGGTTGTTTAACGAAGTTTAGCTAGCCTATATTTCATTTGAAAGAAGCCTTGGGGTTAGTGCTACGTCATTCTTTTCGACTCATTTTCGACATTTCAGCTTCATTATTTGAACACATCAGTTTGTTACATCGATGGAAAAACTCCACATTTCAAGATATTTAGATCACTGTTTCGAGTCAGCATTGAGACACCGTGTGTGTGTATATATAAGCCGTATTAATAGATTTCCAATAAAGCAACAGCCGGGAATGAACGATAAGCAAAGTCAGGATTATGAGCTAATTTACTGTAGAATGTAATAATTTAGCCTTATTAATAAGTTGTGGAGTGTTAAATGTTAAGTTGAAATAGCTGGATAGACAAATCGAAGTATATATGTAAAGATATCCAGTTAAAATCAGTACATGCTATGTTGAAATAACGAGAGATTCGTCATAATGAGTACGTAGCTAAGAAAAAAAACAACAACAAAAAATGATATACAAAGTCAAAACTTTTTTTAAAGATTTTTTAAAACTTGTGTAAACATTATTTTTTATATTTTTTTTTAGTTAAAACAGACAGAGTTTTGTCAAGTTTGACTCGCACCCTGGTACGGAATCCAAGCCACCAGCGACCGCCTTGTTTAACTGATTGGTCTCTTGAATGAACAATTTGTCACCGTTTCGCAGCCGAAAAGAAAGAAAGACTAGCTGCAAGTTCTTTTCAAGAACACACCAGCATGAAAATACGGCTACACGCTGACACACACACACACACTCACACACATTAGCCCAGCTAATTGGCTTGCTTCAGCACCTAATGATGCATTGAGACGCTTTAAAATAGAACATGGATACTTGCAAAAGGGCTTGGTTTTCTTTAATGACTTGAAAGAGGTTCTAAAAATGGTTCTAAAATGGTTTGTTTATACATATATATATATATACATATATATATATACATATATATATATATATATATATATATATATATATATATATATATATATATATATATATATATATATATATATATTCATCCATCCATCTTCTACCGCTTACACCTATATATATATATATATATATACACATTAATAATTAATCAATAAACCCCAAATCAGCAAACGAACTCTGGTCACATGGTCACCAAATCCAGCATTTTAGGGCACAATTTGAAAAAATGAAAATAAAAAACATTTCAGTATCATGATCAAGTGAGAAACAGCAGCAGTTTTACCTTCAGTCTGCGAGTCCTTCATAGTCACAACGAGGAAAAGCATCATCACCACAACTTTGACATCCATTGTGTGAGTGTGTGTAAGCGCTAGCTGGTGAGAGTGTGTGTGTGTGTGTGTGTGTGTGTGTTTATCAAGAGTCTTTGTGTTAGTCACAAGCAGCTTCCAGGACACAGTGTGGTGCCTCAGTGCTGAGAGGGGTGTTAAAGCCTGCAGAGGGGCAGGAGCGCACTCCCACTTACACAGGAGGAGGAGGAGAGGGGGAGAGAGAGAGAGAGAGAAGGCGAAAGTGGAGGGGTGTGTTTTTGGACAAACATCACCAATTTAAATGTTTTGGCTGAAACTGGAGTAACAGTTTACATCCAGCTGTCTCTTTCTCTTTCTCTCTCTTTCTCTCTCTCTCTCTCTCTCTCTCTCTCTCTCTCTGTCTCCTTCTGTCTGTCTGTCTTTCTCTCTGTGTCTCTCTTTTTGTATTTATGTCTGTCTCTCTGTGTCTCGCTCTCTCATGCTTCTCATGTCTCTCTCCGTTTCTGTCTGTCTTCTCTCTGTCATATTCTCACTCTTGCTGCATATTTCAGCCTGCCTGTCTCTCTCTCTCTCTCTATCTCTCCATGTATTTCTCTGTCTGTCTGCCTGGCTGTCTTGCTCTTTCCCTCTTTCTCTTACTCTCTCCCTCTCTCTCATTTGCTGTCTGTCTGTATGTCTTTCTTTCAATGTATCTTTCTCTGTCTCTCTCTGTCTTGCTGTATATTTCTGTCTGTCTCTCTCTCTCTCTCTCTCTCTCTCTCTTTCCTCAAATTGTTGTGAAATCTTGTTTAAGGTCGGACATTCTAAATCTACATCACACATAAGGCCCGAGTTTGCTTTTCACACACTATTACTAGATGTAGAACATTTCCTCAGGGGGTCTTTGGAGGCTTAACGGTTCTAGCTTTCTAATGTGGTTCTACTAAAGTATATCAGTGGTCCTCTGAGTGTATCGATATGTTCCTTTGCATAGCTTAAGGCCTTCTTATACCACTAATTGTTTTCCTCCAGTGAACTAGCTAGGGCCATTCATGGCCATTACGGTAATTTGTGGATTTTTCTTCGGAAACCAGAAAAAAGGAGAAATAAGGGGAAATATGGAGGAAATATTGGTTGGAAAGGTGCAGGAAGTGAGGATCGTCTGTTCTGAGGAGAACTGGAGGTATAATGAAAAGAACCATGAGGAGTAATGTCATGTTCTGGTTGTTATTTTTGCTGTTCTGAACATTTGCGACGGATCACGGAAATAAAAAACCAACATGCTTTTAAAATAATGGGTAGTGGTCGCTCAGTGGTTAAGATGTTGGACTACTGCTCGGAAGGTTTCGAGTTCAAATCCCGGCATTGCCAAGCTGCCACTGCTGGGTCTTTGATCAAGGCCCTTAACCCTCAACTGCACGGTTGTATAGATGAGATAAATGTAAGTCGCTCTGGATAAGGGCATCTGCTGTTATATATCAGCAGAGAAAATCACATCGCTGAACCGTTCACATCTACATGAACAGTTGTAGTGTGCGCTAGGCTCTACGTGATTTCATTCGCCGTAAACTGGAGCACTGCGGAGAAGATTCTGATGGACTGAAGCAATTCGAAGGCATTGTGAAGGTGTGGTAGTACTGGTTAAAATGCTCAAAACTGATAGAAATCTCAGCTATGAAAAGCACTCTGATCACTCAGGGTGACGTTTACCAAAGATGAGCCGGCCCTCATCGTCAAAAGGGTATGTAGACGTTGGAAAACCAATTGCTCATTCTTCATGACCAACATTGACCTCATTAGATAGAAATCACAAGCCCTGCGGCTTTAAAGATACAGATCTGTGGAATCAGCTGGCATGCCGGCGCAGTCTTTCAAACGTTTAACCAACCACTGGGCATTCAGTAAAATATACAATGCGATGCTTTAACATGGCTGGCCTAAATAAACACGGAGCTAAGTGTAGAGGTTTCAGCAGCTTCTCGTCAGGCTCTTAGGAGGCTGTGTGAACACGTATTTTTATGCTTTTTTTTCAGTTATTCTTTTCATTTGTAATTAATAATTAATTTAAAAAAAAACAATTCTATAGGGTAATGAAACCAAACGATTCAACTAAAACTGAACCAATGACTACTGATTCAATCATAAACAAGTGATCCGTGGAGTCTTCTGTAAACGTGTGTGAACATGCGGTAATGTTTCAGTTGGTGTTTATTCACACCGCGTTGTGTCAGGTGATGCAGCTGTGCAGGTCATAAATAAGCGACGTCGCACTTCAGCGAGCGAGGCCGCCTCATCAGTCCTCACACGCTTCTTTCCCATCTTCCTAACCTCAGGTGAAGGGCTAAGAGGCAACAAGATGAGAATGACCCCATGATGCAGGTCTGACTTGTGTCTTTTAGCGCGAAGGGTCACGCAAAGCGGTACAGTTGAGCTCATGAGTTTATATACGCCTTGCAGGATCTGCAAAATGCTAATAGTTTAAATAAAACTACTACTACTACTACTACTAATAAATAATAATAATAATAATAATAATAATAATGAGAGATATTTTGTTTAGATGTTCTTTATTTAGAACGGCCCTGAATAAGCCCTGAACGGCCCTGAATTTCACAGGTCCTGCACATTCTTTACTTTTCCAGCATCTTCTGCATATTACAGCCCTTTCCGACAGCGGTTATACGATGTTGAGATCCATCTTTTCACACTTAGGGACTCGTACACAACTATTACATAAGGTGCAAACCTTCACTGTTGCTCAAGAAGGCGACACGATACACTAAGAGCCAGGGGGGTGTAAACTTTTGAACAGGATGATCGGTGTAAATTGTTATTTTGTCTTCTGGGAAACATGTAAATCGCTTATATCGCTTCTGAAGGGCAGTACTAAAAAATGAAAATAATTATAATTTATGTGATCTCAACTTGTGCCCTGCGATGGACTCGGAACCCTGTCCAGGGTGTACCCCGCCTTGCTCCCTGGGATAGGCTCCAGGTTCCCCCGCGACCCTGAAAAGGAGTAAGCGGTAGAAGATGGATGGATGGATGGATAGATCGTATGATCTCAACTGTAGTTTTGGCGCAAAGGGCTTGAGGTACAGTGCTCGCAGGTAAGAGGTCGTTTTCATTTACTGCAGCAGCGCCTACAGCGAGCCAGCTGAGGGAACAATCTTTGGAGATTAAAGAGAAGTCGGCTGCAGCATTCTAGATCAATTGCCAAGGTTTAATGGAGTGTTCAGGAAGAGGAATGTGGACGAGCTGCAGAAGTCATGTCTCGAAATCACTATGACTAAGCAAGCACCTAACATCATTATTGTTGTATAATAAGTAAGGAATAAATCACATATATATATATATATATATATATAATATATATATATATATTGTGTGTGTGTGTGTGTGTGTGTGCACCCCACATCTTTTCCTCGGAATCTCAGCCGCAATTATTGGAGATGTTGAAAAGCCCTCTCAGCTTTGCTGTTAAAGGGTGGTGTTGAAACACTGTGTAATGTTTCACACACTCCCCCCACCCTCACTTTGTTCTCAAAACCGCTTGAATGCCATCCAAAAACAGTGATTTGCCCTGACGGGCACATCAAGTTTTTACTCTGAGGTCTGTGATACAATAGCTCTGCTCACACTAGTTATGGACAAAATATTGCTTACTGAATAATGTAATATTCGGAAATAAAATACGACCTGTATTTTCCCATCGTACAGCCCATTTTTGGTTTCTTGGAAGCCTGCGTTGTAGTTTTGAGTGTGTTCTCAAAGCCCTTTCACATGACACTGAACATAAACATGCAGAAATATGCATAGCTCAGGACAAAGTGAGCAACACTGCAAGCAAACACTGCTTTCCAGAACAATATACACTCCGAACATATATACTGCTAGCTTCAGCTCTAAGTTTAGATCGAGGGGTTATTTTTGGGTGAAAGAACGCACTGCTGATCTTTGAGGAGTTTCCATCCCCTAGAAGAAAAATATAATCTGTCTTTTGGTACCATGGCTGCGGATAAAAATAAACGTTCAGTCTTATACATATACTGTATGGACATGTACACTAACCTTTAATAGACAATCAGCCAATCACGTCGCAGCAGCGCAACGTTAAGTGACTTTGATCTTTGCGGCAGCTTCGGAAACTCGTAACCGCTCTTTACAACCGTGGTGAGTAGAAAAGCATCTCGGATTACATCAAACCTTGAGGCAACAGCAGAAGACCACATCTTGCTCCACACCCGTCAGCCAAGAACAGCAATCCGAGGCCCTGTTCACACTAGCGCGTTTTCGTTGTTAAAAACGAACACGATCCTCGTTCACACTGGCGTTTCCGCTGTGTTTCAGAAACGATTACTCTACACGACCGACTACGCATGTCACATGACCATTCGTGCACACTGGGCATGAGCATAGAAGTGTAAACAGGAAGTTGTTTGCTGGTCACCGACGTTCCGTGTAGGGATCACGCACTAGTGTAAACATGGCCTGAAGCTACAGTTGGCTCATGCTTACAAACGCTGAACAGTACAGTGTATATAATACACATGTATACGCCAATCACGATGAATGTTTATGGTTAAAATGGTCCATTCATATGGAATTACTTCATGCATTCATTTTCATTACCCTCAAATGTTGACCACAACTGCTTTATATCTATTTCATGCAGAGGTATACTAGAGACTCTACACATGAGACCTGCCCTGCCATTTGATTCTTTAACCCATATCACACAAACCAATTAAATCTAAGCCGTTTTAGTGTGACGGCCTAGTCTTATTAGTCTGAAATCACTACGCACACTCGGGTCCATGGACTTACAGGAGAACACGCTGAGAACGATTCACTCATCTGATCCGTCATTCTAGGTCTATATTCAAGTTGCGGATGTGGAGACACTATTCGGGGGCCCTTCGGACTACATGAAGGGCCCCCCCTATGGATTTTTAAACCCGTGTTTAACTCGTGAGAACAGGGTACAGAGAGGGGAAAAAAAGACGTTTACTTTGCAGCATTGTGTGGCAGGACCTGGCAAGTTCCCAAAGAACACTCCAAGTGTTCAAAGCGCCAGAGCTAAGGGCAATAACTGCACACCAGTCGCTTTGTTTCTCCCATTCTCTCAGCCACTACCACATTCGCCTTTATTTGTCAAGAGCATAGTTTGCTGATCTCCGTGGACCTTAAAGCGCGCAAGGGTTCAGTCTCCCTGGACAAGCTGAAGCTCCTGATCTGCAGCATGCCTGGCTCCCGGAGATCCATCATCTCCATACAGTGCTAATCTAACACACGTGGTGAAGATAATCAAGACCTCCAGCGGTATCTGAATATTAGAGCCAGGTGCGTTTTCCTATATTCCTGTAATGACACATCCCCAAGTGTTTAATTCTTTATTTATACCACAGTGCTGTTTTTTTTTTTTTTTTTTTTTATGTTTCTAAATTATTAAATAATTCCATAACTGCAGCTCAGAGACTAGTTTTAGTAGGCTCGCTCTGTAGCTGATGTTCATGTCAACGTTAAGACTCCACACAGCAACTAGCATGAAAGCAATCTGGGGGAGGTGGGGGTGGGGGGGTGTCAGGGGTTGTGGAGTTCCTTAAGGGCTAGTTGGATTCCAAATGGTTTCCAAAGTGGGATCTTGGAATCTCTAGGAGTATTGAACTAAAAAAAAAAAAGTTCTAGATAGAACAAGCAATGATTCACAACTGGATAAATCATGTAGTTTGCTTTTTATAGCCTAATCGCTGGAGCTCTTCAAGGTATTTACAGTTGATTTGTGGGATCTAGATATGTCAAATTTACGGCATAATGTCGAAAAACGGAATTTTCTCATGACCGCTGTGTTTTATACAACAGGATATATTTATCCTTGGTGTATTACAGTGGCATATAAAAATAATAATAATAATAATAATAATAATAATAATAATAATAATAATAATGCTATTAATTTCTCCGTGGTAGGATCATGGTTATAGAGTAGAGACCCTTGGCTTGAATAAATAGCCGTACAGCAGAACCAGTGAGCATTGTGGGTAATCAGGGAAGAGCGAAAGCAAGACTGGTGCTAATTTCAGGGTCATGACCCATGCAGAGGAAACTGTCCACGTCGTTTGAATCAACCTGCACAGGTTTAGATGAAGAGTCATGAACTGGTTCAGGTGAAGTGGAATCACAACGTTTCTTCGTAGAAACATTTGACAATACATATGATCACACAGCAAACAACCCAGAGTTCTCCCGTAACGCTGGACAGTTTAGGGAGGCGATTTCATGTTTCTCATGAAACTGCGCCTGTGTCTCGCATTGGATCAGATTATACATTCATCGAAATCGACATTGGATTCCTTCCATTAATAAGCGAG